TTGTTTCTACTTTTTTGTTGTTATGAATAATGCTGCTACGAACGTGTGTGTGCGTGCACATACACACATCTACACACATGCACACATGTACACACACTTACATCTACATACATTAATATACCTGCCACTTCTTCATTGCATACAACGCAAGTTCAACCAAAAGTACAGAGAATAAAAAGAGCCACCTGAAATCCCTCATCTAGGGATAATAGCTGTCACCATTTGGTAAAGATCCTGTCAGATGTCGCCCCATCTCCAGCCTCAGAGAATGGTCTAAGGTCCAAACTTCTCCTTGAGTTTAAGCCTAGTCTCCCCATTCCCACGGCTCATGGATCATGCAGGAGCTGACACCATCCCCTCCATCCATCCCATGCCCCCCACCAGGCCTTCCGTGGAAAGGTGCTGAGGGCTCTTGGGGCTGGCGCGCTTCATATGGAAGTGCGGGCCTATCCTGGGGCCTGGGAAGAAAGTGTATATATACACACAGTCTTACAATTTCATTAACACAGAAGTGCTTGCATTTCATGTACAAATAAATAAGACACCCAAGATCTTACTGATGGGGTGTGTGAGCTCACAAACTGGAGTTACTTCAGGGCGTGGAAAGAAGGTAGAGCCTGAGCAGCTGCGACAGCCCTCCTGGGGCCCAATCTGTTTTGGACGGCGTGCCCCCAGGAGGCTGCTGCGGCAGTCTGTCGGCCTCGCGCTCTGCTCACACTCAGGGTTCACACCAGGCCCTGGAAGGATGCGTGAACTGAGCCCACAGACCAACGGACTTGAGCCCCAAGCCAGGAGAGGGCGTCCTGTGGCGCTTCCCAGGGCTCAGGGCTCAAGGCGCAGCGCGGGTCCCCCATCTGATTCTGAGCACCCACGCCTGGGGTCCGTGCCCCAGTTCGCACGTGCTCCACAGGGCACCTCGGTCCCTCGACGCCCTGCCTCTCTGGCCCACACTCTCAGCCCTGTCTGCCTTTGTCTCCTGGGAGCCCTTGATCGGTCCAGAGCTGTGGCGCCCCCTGGTGTCCATCCAGGTGTGGGGCGCCTTCTCTGACCCAGCTCAACACCTGGACCTCGCTGTGGCCTCACGCGGCTCCCCAGCAGATTAGACAAAGGGGGTGAAGGCCTCCGAGAGAGGCCTTGGAGAGCCGGCCAGCCCGGGGGATGACAAGTCGGTCCAGCTCCGGGTCTGCAGCTCTGCGGCCGGAGGAGCAATGCGCAGCAGCTGCGTGCTCCGCTCGGGGAGGGAGCGCTCGGGAAGGGAAGGGGGCGGCGGGCGCCGGGCAGGAAGCGCACCCTGCACTGCCCGGTGTGATGCGCGGCCCCCACACCGCCCCTACGCACGCACACACACCGCACAGACACGCGTGCACAATACACACCACACACACCATACAGCCCCCACAACACACAACACCCCTACACATACATCATACACATACGCACTCACATCGCACAGACACGCGTGCACGATACACACCACACACACCATACAGCCCCCACAACACACACACACCCTACACATACATCATACACACATGC